TCATTGTTTCATTTCCTATAAGCTAGTGCTTCATTTTGAATGTACCAATACCAAACCAGGCAATCTACCATTCTACCGATTCTCCCCCCATCAAGATTAAAACAGAGCCATCAAAACCGGCCATAACCTCTCAAGTCTCAATAGAATCATTTCTCACAATCAAAAATAAGCAGGAAGAAAATAATGATAAATATAGATAGTGAGAGGTGAAAAAGAAAATCCACATTAAACTTCAATCAAGGAAGTGCTAGTTGACAAAAATTGGTGAAACTTACTTCGCAGCAGGTTGATTGGAGTTCTCAACTAGGAGATCCTTTATCTTTTCATTGTACACCTTCTTCATTCTTCTGGGCTCCGACAACGTCGGGCTTCTCCAGACTCCAATCTCCAGTGAATCGGTGATTCGGTATGAAAGTAACTCAGTAAGTATCAGTTCTTCTTCTCTGCGGCAGTTGGCACTTGGCAGTGGACGGGAACTACAGTCTAGAAGCCGACGACTGCGAGTTGGAGTGGCAGCAAGGGTCGGCAGCCGGTCGACACAGACGCGATTCAACAGCAAGGGTGAAAGTTTTTGTTTTGATTTGTGATTTGAATGAAATCGTTTTGATTGGAATGAAACCAGGTCTGGGTTATAAACGGGTAATGGGCTGAGGCAAACGAGCTTCTTTTACATTGACTAGGCTTTAACAGGCTTTAACCCAGTGTGGGCATCTGTCCGCACTGGACCTAATGGAGTTCCGCACCTGTGTTAAATTGTGATCAACTATTTAATATGTGACCTAGAAATTCAATAAATATGTGATCGATGGTAATTTGTGATTGAAAAATAATTTGTAATTAACTAAATTGATCATTTATGATCATTGTGACCAATAAAATTTGTGATTTATGATCAATAAATAAATTGCGGCCTATAAATTTTTTGATTTGAGACCAAGAAATAATTTGTACCAATTAATTTTGTAATGTGTTATCAATAAACAAGATGTGGCTTATAATTATGTAACTGTGATCATAAATTGTATAATCATGACCTTAATATATTTGATTAGTAGAATAATTTTAATTATTTATTTATCACATAAGGTTTGGAATTTTAAACTCTCTCTCTCTCTTAAAATTGAATTGACATAATTGAAGCGGATGTATGAATTTTTCCATTCACTAATTCACATTTGGATGGTAGTAATGTGGATTAGGAATGGGCATCAAGTCTGATTCTTGATTCTTGTGATTGGGTGCCTAAATTTGAACTCAATTATATTTAATTTTAAAATTTCACTTCCATTCTCGAAAGTTAGATGAAATTTTAGCCTCCATTAATTTTCATTTCATTAAATTTCATTTTCTTTTTCCTATTTTCAATCACACAATCTTTCATAAAATAATATTACATGTAAATCAAAATTTTTTCCTTCTTTTTCAACCATTTATTTTTAAAAAAAAAATATTATTCCACCCATTTTTATTACCACAAAATGGGGACCGAACGGGGACTAAATAATCTCAACATGGTATTGATGATCCTATTAGATCAAAAATAAGAAAGATGATAAATGAAGTGATCAAAGTAGATACATAATTACTAAAATGTTAATGTAGGGGTGGCAATGAATCAAGCTGTTCACAATTCGGCTCTTTCTTTAAAAAAATATATATATATATATATTCATAACTACAAATGTTTTATAATACAATTTCAAAATTAACAAACTTTAAAAAAAAATTAAAAATCAAGTGATCACATTGATGACCTCCGATAAAATATTGTGATCTATAATCTAATTAAATAGGTTATAGTCACACACACACACACACTTTAAGGGTCATAGACAATCACAATTTATGAGATGAATCACATGTTAATCATAAATTACAAAGTTATTAAGTCACACATCATTTTATTAGTCACAATCACGCGCTCAGCTAGTCACGGTCATTATTTTTCTCACCCCACCTCTTCTCTCTCGTTCTTCACCCAATTTCTCTATCATGGCAACAACCTCTCCTCCCATCATTCTCCAACACCACCACCTCCATCACACTCCTCTAGACAAATCGCAAGAGCAAACAACCTTTTCCGCCGCTCTCCTTCATCACCATCACACTCCTCCAGCTAATCGCAGAAGCAAACGTCCCTCTTCATCTCTTTCTTTCATCACACTCTTCCAGTTCTCCATCACGAGATTGTTGGAGAATGAGTGGTTAAAAAATATATTTTAAGTGAAAAAAAATAATGTGTGATTTTATTATTATTATTATTGCATATTAGCCGGTCCTAAATATTTTCTTGGATTCTTTCCTGATCCATAGACCAAGTCAAAGTGAGCCCAGCTACGAACTTACAAGGTGCTCAGCTCTTTTGCCTCTCCCCAGTCCCAGGCCCAGGTCCCATTGAAATTTGATTAAAAAAAAAAATTAATGACTTTTTTTTTTTTTTTTTTTTTCTTTTTTTTTTTTTTTTTTTAAAA